GCCACACCCCTGATCTTCTGGTAGGAAAGATCTACACCTAGCCTTCTCGGACAAGGGCGAAAAATCTCGGAGGGCCCGTGTGCAAGTTGCGCACCTTAAAGATCCCTTGGTGGTCTAAAATCGATAAGAGTAGGCTTCGGCCGCCACCCGGGCAAAGTAAAACCCTATACTAAACAAACAAACAAACAAACAAACAAACAAACAGGTTGATTCAAGTTTAAATTACATACATGCACTGTCAGCATGGCATCTTTTGGTTTCGTCTCAAATACAAATGTGTGTGACGACGTGGTGGAATCAGGCGCTCGTCAATTTTAGTCATGTGGAGTTATATTGGTATCATCTGAAAGCCGATTTATTTGTCTTGTTTCCAATGAAATAAGCATCCATTTATCTTAAAGAACTCAAGATATTTGCGATTGAAGAAGGCGAGGTCGCCTGGTTTCAGTTTTAAAATTAGCGAGAAAATGGCTGCCAAAGTTTGGTAACTCCAATAGCTAAAGAGTCTTTGAAAACTGAAAAAATGACACATTTTGTGCCTTTATTCAAGGTTTTCCAGTAAAATTCACATGGAAATGTGCTGTTATATGGACATAAATGAGGTTTACAAGCCAAAAAATACAAATTCAACAAAAATTTCCAAACTAGCAAAAAATGCCTGTTTCTCCGATTTCATCATTTTGACGAGCCCCTGATTTTACCACGCTTTCTCACAAATACTTTAGGTATTGCAAACTAAAATTTTTTTTAGTTCAGTAGACCTATTTTTGCGGTTTATCAGTCTTGACATCATTATTATGTAGGGCTTGCCCAGCCGTCTAGTCGTCATTAAGTACGGCTAGTCTCTTCCTATTATTATTAAAAGGAAGGACTTCCGTAACAAGCGACCACCCCAATAATAAACACAATAAAGAAGAGACCTAACCCAAACCCTAACCCTAAGCCAAACCCTAACCCTAGCGCTAACACTAACCTAAACCCTAACCCTTCCTAATGCAAACCCTAACACTAACCCAGACCCTACCTCTACCCCTAGCCCTCTATTCTACTCTGTCTCATAGTGGTCGCTCGTTACGGAAGTCCTCCATATTGAAATAGTATTTTCTCTCAGTCTCAGTCCTGCTGCTATGCTATGACAGGAACTAAGGGTCATGAATGTAGACTTTAACATGTTCTGAAATGAATGACGATTGTGCCAACAAGTACTTATTAAGTAGATTAGATAAAGTACATCTTTATTGTCCAGTTACTGGCACATTGGTTTTGGTGTTTCACCACGTGCACACTCACACACGCACACACACACACACACACACACACACACACACACACACACACACACACACACTCAGAGATCTCTAACACACACACTCTCTCTGTGTCGCTCTCTCTTTCTCTCTCTGTCTCTCTCTCACTGTCTCTCTATCTCTGTCTCTCTCTCTGTCTCTCTCTCACTCTCACTCTGTCACTCTGTCTCTCTGTCTCTCTCTGTCTGTCTCTGTCTCTTTCTCTCTCTCAAACACACAAACACGTGTA